CATCGCGAGGGCGCCAGCCCCCAGCCTCCTGCCCAGAGGGGGAGTGCTGGTTCGTGGCCCTCCGCGCGCCCCTGTGGCGGAGGATGACGCGGAAGACGTGCTCGAGCGCGCTTAGGAGCGCCGCGCCCTTCGCCAAGGGTTTCTCCAGAGGGCGGCTGACGTAGTGAGCCATCTCGGTGTAGAGCTTGCTGACGAGGACGCGCGCCTTGAGGCCGAGGGCCTGCGCCTAGCTGAGGAGAGGCGCAAGCTGAAGGTGGCCGTTTCCCTTGCGCGCCACCAGCGTGACCTCGACAATGAGAAGGCCGAGGTGTCACTGGCGGCTGCTTGGGAGGCCTGCTCCCGGGCCGTCGAGGAGGCCCAGGAGGCTGACCAATGGCGCAGGGCTGCAGAGGAGCGGGCGTGGGAGCTCCGGGCCTGGAGTAGCTCCCTAGAGCAGCAGGTGGAGTTGCGTGAGGCAGCCCTTGCGTCGATGAAGGGGGCCTCGGTCGACCGGGCAGAGCTCCAGAGACGTGAGGAGGCACTGACACTGGAGGCCACCGAGCGCACCCTAGACCTCGAGCGGTTGGAGACGAGGGAGCGCCTGGTGGCACAGGCGGAGGATGACGTTGCCGCGAGGGAAGCCCGAGCCTCAGAAGAGGTTGATCGCCGGGTGGCGGCGGCCCGCTCGAACCTCGAGCGCGAGTTCGAGGAGAGGATGGAGTTGATCAGGGTCGAAGCAGAGGGCAGGACCGCCGCCCTGAAGGCCAAGCTGGATGAAGTGACCCGGCGTGCGGACGCCACCGGGGCCGCCCTTGGCGCGACACAGGTGGAGCTGGCTTCCTCCCGCGCCGAGGTGCTTCTTCTCCGTCAAAGGGTGGACGCGACTGAGGCCGTCGCATGGCGGAGCGAGGACGAGATATGCCAGCGGCAGACCTTGGAGCACATGCATGGCCCCATGCTCTGCACGCTCCAGGAAAGAGCTAACACGGCCTTGGGCAACATCTGCGAGGCAGCCGTCGGGGAGCCTCATGTGGTTAACTATGCTGGTAACCTTCAGTCCTTCACCGATGTGGTGACGCAGCTGGAGACTCGGTCGGGCAGAGCCGATAGGTTGGTCGAGGAGAGGAGCCGTGCTCTACTTGGGCGTGCTTTTTCTCGCGTCTTCATTCATCTCTAGAACATGGGCCCCCATTTTGACTTCGATGCCGCCATCGCATCGGTACCCCTGGCAATCCGGGGCGACTGGCGCATTGGGTGGAAGACAACATGGACGCCCTTGTTAGGGACTTCACCGCCGATGACGACGGTGTGGTCGTAGCTGCTGATGAGGGCGGAGTGATGAATGGCCCAGGTGCTGATGACGATAGCGTAGAAGGCGACGGCGAGGCCAGCGATGCCAGTGGCGACTCCGGAGGTGCCCGTGAGGATGCATTGGGGGATTTATCCGATTGGCCGAGCGCTGTTCCTGCTTTTTACCCTGCGCAGAGAGAGTTCGGGCTTGGCCCTGAGGATTGTAAGAGCATTTTGGGAGGGGGAGCCCCTCGTGTAAAAACTTGCAGTTTGCGTGTTTGTAGACACGATATCACCCGCATGCCTACGCCAAGTGGCTGTTCTTGTGACGAGTTGACTGGCTTGTTTACCTTCGACCCGCGCGGGCCCTGAGCAAGCCTGTGGAGGGCCGTGGTGTCCTGAGTGCCTCCTGAACGAGCCCATTGAACCTGTAATGAGAACCTCCTGACAGGGCGTGGCGATGGCAGTCCGGGCTGCGCGTATGCTGGGCCTGGCCCGGCTCGCGAGGGGCTCACGAGGGGAGGCAGCTGAAGATGGATGGACGCAAAGCGGTAGCCAGAACACGAGAGATTGCTCGAACGAGATTAAACACCCCTTCCACGAACACACGCAAGTCTCAAGCTCAAATCCAATTTAAATCCAAACAGGGGAAAAATGACAACCAAAGGAAAGGCAAAAAATAAGCAAAAAGGCCCCGTCCGGCACCTAGTCTAGTCTTCGACGTCTTCTCACTAGCGCGGAGCTAAGTGCTGCCACTGGACGTGGGCGGGAGCCCTCGAGGCCCGAGGGCGGCTCTCCGGAGACTCCGGGGCGTGTACAGCCCCACTCATTATTACGTGAGAGTGTCACGGGGTGGCGAGCTTCACAGACACTGGGCCTTCTTCACAGGTACCGGCCTTGCTTCATATCGCCAGACGAGGGCCCCGCCTTGCGCCACACTCTATTGCCATCGACGACGGCCGGAGACCGAGGACGCCACCGATGGGATAGAGCGGTCGCCAGCGCTTCCCCCGACGACCACGGGTCCTCTGCCGGGGGTAGGCCCTGAGGCACCTCCCCGGCAGAGGGCCTACCTCCTGAGGGCGCCTTGCTCCGAGCGCCGCGTGGGCGAGGCCGGATCTCGGCCCCCCTCCTACAGCCCCCGGTGCCCTCCTCCTGAGGGGTAGGAAGCTGCTGGATTGGGGCGGCCATCCGCCGCGACGACCTGCACCTCCTGTGATCCATGGTTAGCGTATGCCTGTTCCTGAGGGATTAGCGGTACCCGATAGTCGCTGTCTCCAGCGCGGTCGACGAGGTCTTCCCTGGGCTCCTGAAAGAGCTCAGCTTCGTGTGTCTTTTCCCCCCAGCCTGGGCAGAGGAACGAGCCATGGTCTTCCTCCTGCATGTGTCCTTGATCTATCATGTGGGGCACATACGCTTCCGGGGCCGCCGTCCCAAATGCCTTGCTGTAGTGCCCCGTGTGCCACGCAGTCCTGCTCGAGGTGCCCGCCTGGGAGTGGTAGCGTGGCGGCCCACTGGGACCGTGGGCTATAGTGGACCCCCCTTCGCTGGTCGGAGGCGGGGGCGACACTATTGGCAGCCAGGCGCCGACGGCCAGGTTGGCGTTGGAGTGGCCCTGGAATCCGCTCGGAGCTGTGCGGACGCGCGTGGGGCCTCCGTGCGGTCCACCTTGGGCCTGAGGCGGTGGCTGGGCACAAAAGGGGTGAGCCCCCGAGGCGGCGGAGCCCAGGAGCTCTGCCACCCGCTCCAGTAGCACGTCGCGGCCGCCCTCCAGCAGCCTGCATTGCAGTAGCTCTCGGGCTACCGTGAGCGCGGCCCTTGAGTTTGCCTGCTCCCGCCGGGTGTACGGCGCCGTGTCCGCGACGTGGCTTGAGGCCCTTGCTGCCGACTGCACCTGCCGCGGCGTGAGAGCTGGCGCCGCCTGACCATGTCGCCCGCAGCCCGCAGCGCCCTGCAGACCACGGGCTTCCTGGGGCACAGGGTTGAGGTCGCCTTGGGCAAGCGGCTCTGCGCGGGCGGGCTAGGCCGCCCAGGGATCGGGATTGCCCGTTGGGTCGCCGGACATGATGACGACGATGCGACGGTATGCGAGGCAGCGGGAGAAGGATTCCGGCGCACCCCTACCTGGCGCGCCAAATGTCGGATTTCGGGTTCCGGCAGACCCTCAAGGTTCGAACTCTGGGGTGCACGCGGATATCACACCTCCTGCCTACCCATGTTTCGTCACCTCGCTAGGATCTAAACTACACGAAGAACAACACAAGGGGCACGAGATTTATACTGGTTCAGGCCACCATTGTGGTGTAATACACTCCAGTTTGTGGTGTGGTAGATTACCTCAGGGGCTGATGATGAATAGTACAAGGAAGAACAGCCTCGCGAGGGGCTGTTCTTGGCTGGTGCGATGAACTGCTTGGGTGAGTTCAGTCGCCTCTCTCTCTCTAGTCTGCCCAAAATCTCTCCTCCCTCTACTCTATGGTAGCTAGCTCTATTTATAGAGGGAGGCCCTGGGCCTCTTCCCAAATATCGAGCGGGAAGGGCGCCAACAATTGGCCATTTTGAAGGGGAACATCTAGTACACTTATCCTGACTAAAGTCGGTCCTCGCCTGCCAAAGACCCTGATAGTGACGCCGGCTTGGGCTCCACGATGACCTCCATCATGCCGTCCTGCTGGTCTTGGTCTTGTTGTACCGAAATGGTTGCCTTTGCTTGATACTCCTGCCTGCGCTTGCCCCCTTTGCACCAAAGAGGAAACAAGGACTCTGCGCAGGCCGGCGCCCGCCTGGCCTTGGTCGTCATGGCTTGCGTCATGGTCACCTCGTGAGGTACCCCGCCATGATCTCTCCGCCTCCTCGCGAGCCAGCCTGACGAGGCTGTGCCCGAAGAAGCCTCCTGTCGTCCGCCCCGCAAGGCTTGGCCCCTCGCGAGGGTCTTGAGTATGTGTTGATGAAGATGGGCCGTACTGGGCCACTCCCTGAGCCACGCCGCAGGCCGCAGGCAGGCAAGTCTGGGTACCCCCGTTCCCAGAACACCGACAACACCGTAATTTTTTATATGTATTTTTTGTAAATTTATAAAATAGAATTGTAATTTGCAAATTAATTCAAGCCATTTTAGTCTTAATTGTATGAATGTGAAGGAGGAAGTTAGGGTACTGTAGCAAATCCACTGGCAAAATTGACTTCCCTCCTTGATGTTAGAGGATCCCGTTCCCTCCGAACCATACCATGTCCTTCATTTTTGGACTAGACTCAAAAGCGGCCCTTGTGTCTGACGGTTGCTGTATGTATGGGTGGTGCCAGAAAAAGGGGAATGATCTTGGTCAGAGTTTAGAGGCTCGTTGGCTGCGGATCGGGCATTCATGAATCCAGATCCAGGTCGACGTGCCTCATCACAAGTGCATGTTCAGTAGCCCTGACCATCGGCTCTCAGTGAATTTCTCACTATGGCGCTGGCCCGGAACATGGGATGACACGTGAGAAACTTTCCATGACAACGCCTTTCTCAGCTCAGTTCAAAATACGAGCAGAGTCGAATCAAAAATAAATGTGAGAAGCACATTCTATAGCATTCCAGAAGATGACATGTTTCAATCAATTTTGCCAGTGGATTTTTCTTTTGAAACAACTTTAAATCAAATCAATCAACTACAAATACGACCGCATATCAACTGGGTTTCCACCGAATTATTACCGACACAAAATCCACACCTCCACATCCAGGCATACTATCATTTCGGAAAAGAAAGCCCTCCCAGGATGAAAGCGAGCAAGATCCTCTCCCTGTCCGCCGAGACCGTGCGCTGCAGCACGTCGCCGTCGACGAGCCGCAGCTTCCCCGCGCAGTAATCCACCGAGGCGAGCGCGCCCTCCCATACCCGCCGGAAGTCCGCGAGCGAGCAGGCCTTGAGCGCGCCTTCCATGGCGACGACGTCGGCGCGCGCCAAGCCGTACATGTCCACGCAGATCTGGTACACCGCCCGCGCGTCCTCGGGGAGTTTCGGGTCCTGCGCCAGCTTCTTGCCGGCGCCCTCGGTGGCCTCGGACGACTGAAGGGCGGCCCTCACGGCGATGATGCCGTAGGCGCTGGCCGTGAGGCCGTCCCGTGCGCCGCGCAGCGTCTTCTGGCAGAGCTCCAGCTCGTGCTGGCCCTGCCAGGCGCTCGTCTTGTCGCACGCGCCGGCGACGGACATGGACCGGTCGCCGGCGCATGCGGCGTCGGTGCTGCCGGAGAGCAAGGCGATGGCCGTGAGAGATACGGCGACGACGCAGATGATGGGTGTGCTCTTCATTTTTGCTCGATCTCTGTCTAAACCTATGCGCGTTCTGCAACCTCTGTGTGTGTATCGGAAGGAACCCAAGGACGGCTTTTATAGAACGGCCCTGCCAAGGAGTAGTAGCCAAACTGAAAATATATTGTACATGCAGCATATCTAGAGCAATTAATGTGTATCATTATGCAGCAACCAGTAGAAGCCAATGAATCCTTAATATCAATGTGTAGCATTAGTTTATGGGTGTGGCTAGTATCTCTAATCTAAATGAAAATTAAATCTCATCTAGCTCACTTGCGTATATATATTTTTCTTTCCCGCTTTCCCATTTTATTTCACTTCTATATTTTTTCTCAATTTACGCTCTATTCTCGATTTTTCCTTTTGCATTTCTATTTTAGAAAATATGCAAATGCAGCAGTGGGTGGCATGTGGACATGCTGTTGAGCACAGCCGGCCAGTCATGCAAGTGTAGTTACACACGACATAAAAATAAATAAAACCCAAATAAACTAATTCGGTACAAAATGAATAAAAATCATTAATGTGTATCAATGTGTAGCATTAATTTGTGGGTGTGGCTATCTCTCATCTAAATGAGAATTAAATCTTATCTAGCTCACTTGAGTATATAAGTTCAGCATCCTATAGTGTTAAGAGAATCTATAACAGGACTCCCCATACCCGTCCTAAACGTATGGGCGGGCTGCCCGTCAGAGCCCGAGCGAGTTTTGGGCACCCAATCGGGTAACCCATAGCCGGGCCAAACGCCCGGGCTGGCTGGCACTTCCCATATTCGGCCCATATCTAGGGCGATTATGGGGAGGTCCGGACGCGTCCGGGCACGTCCGCCACGTAGGACTGACGGAAAGGGCCCACACGAGGATGCGGTGAGACCGCTGGTCCGACGGGCGCCTCCTCTACTCCGCGCCGCGTGGCGTCGCTCCGGCGTGCCGCCCGAGGGAGGGAGCTCCCGGACAGCGGCAGTAGAACCCTAGCCCGCCCCATTTCTCCCTTTTCTCCTCTCTGCCCCACTTCTACTTTCATCCGCCGCTTGCGATGTCGAGGCGCCGGCTCACCACCTACACCATGCTCACTACAGAGCGGAGGGTGCAGCTGCTGGAGCAGATCCAAGCGAGGCGGGCTGCTTGTTTCACTGTCGGCCTTCCTCCAGATTCATCGGAGCCGTCGGAGGATGAGGAGGAGGAGAAAGAGGAGGAGGAGGAGGAGGAGGAGGAGGAGGAGGGGGAGCAGCCATCGGAAGCGGAGCCCGTGGAGGAGGCGTTGCCGTGTGCGGGCTTCCCTATGGCGGACGCATAGGTGGAGTACGAGGCCACTCAAACGATGTAGATGGTGGAGTAGACCGCCATCCTGGAGTCCATCTAGGACGAGGCCTACGTCGAGGCCAACCGACAGTTCATCCGGCAAGAACAGGCGGCAACAATGGCTCTGTCCACTGAACTGGATGCCGAAGCAGAGGCGGTGTGGGAGCTTCCACAGGCGCAGGAGCTTCCGCACTTGCCCGTTACCCGATGCCGGACATGGAGATCGTCGAAATCTCTAAGGATGAGTAGTTTTACCTATGTTCATATTTTATTTGCATGGGTATTGTGGATTTGAGGTATAAAGTTTGAGTTTGATGGTTGTGGGACGTTTTTGGTGTGGTGTCCAGTCAAGATCCACGGACGCGTCCGGCCGGCTTTTGGGTATTGCGGTTGTAGATGCTCTAAAAACAACAACAAAAACATGTTGATAACTGATCACTTGTAATAAATACTGTTATGATCAGCAATAGAAAATCTCTGCAATTAACCAAAGATGTAGTGATATATAGACGGACTAAGAAGGAGCTTAAGCAAGTTCTAAAATCATTCAACCAAGTAGTCTAACACAGTCAGACACTGCCAGATGAAATGCAGCAGCATATCAAGACCTAGAAAACAAGTGTGCTGGCATCCAACTAAATCAAATGAGCATAGTAGAGATTACACACTTAAAGCTAGTTAGAAGGATGAGCCATTCATTCAGCCTCCAGGCAACCAACTTAAACGGTTGGGTCAAAGCACACAGTTGATCCTATGAGACCCAAGGCTGCAGCGCTTAGACAGGTGCTTGATCACCCGGAGAGGACCATCGCCAGCGTCGCAGGGCTTCACCTCCACGCCGGTGAGGACGACGAACTCGCGCTTCATGGCCTTGCAGAAGGAAACGACGCAGAAGCTGCCCGCGCCCAGGCTCACCAGGTGGCGCTTGTACGGTGACCACTTCTCCTCCGGCAGGTCGAGACGATCAAAGGTATACCGCAATGCCAGCGGCCCGGCACGGGCAGAGCGAATCGCATCGCAGTCCAGAGCACACAGGCGGTGGGGGCTGTCAGCCGACAGGGCGAAGGAGAGGCCGAGCTCGGGAACATACTCCGCTCTGCCGTGGAAGGGCAGCGCCCAGTCGCCGGCATGAGTCCATTCCTCAGTCGCCGTGTCGAAGGCGTAGGTGCCGACGCCGTCGAAGGATATGCATATGGTCGTGCCGTCGACGATCATGGAGGAACACGTGTCGATCATCGGAAGTGAGTTCATCAAATCCTACTAAACTATCCTAATTTTTCCCCATAATTTTTGGACGGCATAATGCAGCGCATCGTACCATGCGAAGATATACGAAACATTCACCATAAGAAAACACATGCAACTTCCTCACGAAAAAAACTAAAGCTATTTCAAAGGTATATAAGTTCAGCATCCTATAAGGTTAAAAACAACAACAAAAACATGTTAATAACTGACCACTTGCAATAAATACTGTTATGGTCAGCAGAAGAAAATCTCTGCAATTAACCAAAGATGCAGTGATAGATAGACGGACTAAGAAGGAGCTTAAGCAAGTTTTAAAATCATTCATCTGGCAGTCCGGCACTGCCAGATGAAATGCAGCAGCATATATCAAGACCTAGGAAACAAGTGTCCTGGCATCCAACTAAATCAAATGAGCAGAGTACAGATTACACACTTGAAGCTACTAGTTCGAAGGATGAGCCATTCAGCCTCCAGGCAACCAACTTAAACGGCTCGGTCAAAGCACACAGTTGATCCTATGAGACCCAAGGCTCCAGCGTTTAGACAGGTGCTTGGTCATCCGGAGAGGGCCATCACCATTGTTGCAGGGCTTCACCTCCACGCCGGTGAGGACGGCGAACTCACGCCCCACGGCCTTACAGAAGGAAACGACGCAGAAGCTGCCCGCGCCCAGGCTCACCAGGTGGCGCTTGTACGGCGACCACTTCTCCTCCGGCAGGTCGAGACGATCAAAAGTATGCCGCAATGCCAGCGGCCCGGCACGGGCAGAGCGCATCACAGTGCAGTCCATAGCACACAGGCGGTCGGGGCTATCAGCAGACAGCGCGAAAGAGAGGCCGAGCTCCGGAACGTACTCCGCTCTGCCGTGGAAGGGCAGCGCCCAGTCGCCGGCACGAGTCCATACCCCCGTCGCCGTGTCGAAGGCGTAGGTGCCGACGCCGTCGAAGGATATGCATATGGTCGTGCCATCGACGATCATGGAGGAACACGTGTCGATGTCGACGTCGACGGCTCTTCTTCCACAGGCACCATCATCGGCCAGAAACGGCGGCGGCGGGAGCCTTTCCCAGTGGAACGAATTGATGTAGTTGTGGTTCAGACTTTCAGCTTCACAGACGGAGAAGAGATTGTTAGAGCGGTAGCTGAGGACCTCGAAGGAGAAACCGACGGCGGCGGCCGGCGGCGACAGGTCGAGGACATAGAGGCAGGGTCGACAGCCAAAGTAGTGACGGTGACCACCGGGATCATCGGCTTGGGGTGGCACGGAGAAGCAGACGCAGTTGGGCCCCCTGAGAGGATGCATGGGGTGAATGGGTTGGACCGAGTTGAGGTCGACGTCGTAGAGGAATGGGCTGTTGGTATCGGCCGCCAGCAGGAGGCTGTTCTCTCTCAGCAGAGCCGAGAAGGAGTGCGTGGGCTTGGCGCGGAGGTTCGATTCGAACCTGAACCTGGGCTTATGCAACCTCAGGCGACTCATCGACGCTCCTCGGTTTTCCTTCTCCGGGTTTGTGTTTTCTGCTGCTTCTCTTTCGTTTCCTCCTGTTGATGATGGCGGGCGGAAGAGGTGCTTCCAGGGGTCGATGAGGTAGAGCGAGTTGGCGCGGGTGTTGAGGTCCTGCGCTATCACATTCAGAAACCGACGATGCATCGTCCTCTCCAGAGTCCAAACTGAAATTAGCCTGAACCTGACTGAAAAGAGCAAACGAATTTGACCATTGTCACTGAGATATCCAGATGATTATTACCGTGAGAATGAGGATGAAACAGAAGAAGATGACGCAATGTATAAAAAATTGTCGTACCGGCAGCAAATTCCTACGTGCCTCCAGTCCCTAATATTTATCGAGGGCGAATTACCTGGCAGCAGGGGCGCCGTCAAAGATGTGAATCACGGAGGGACAACTGAGAAATCAATTCAAACACGAGCAATATCTGCATCTGTTGATCTGCAGCGCGAGTATCAACTGCGCTTGGAGACTGACGGTAATGGAGGGGCGATCGAGCACAACCAGATGGAATAGGCGGACGCGTGTAGAGAAGCAGCGGGCGGCCGCGCTTGGAGATGGTGATGGAAGTCCGGCGGCGGCACCGGTCTGGATGAGGAGCCGCTTCTGTTTCTGTCTCGCCCTGCCAGCCAGGTTTTTTAGTAGATCCGGCAGCGTGGCATAATCACGCTCCCGTCCGGCCCGCTTTTCTTTTCTTGGATTTTTTTAATAGAAACACATTGCACGTACACTCACCCTCAATGAATGCATGTATACATGTTATCTTTACCGGTGCGCCGCTTGAGGAGAAGGACTCTGCACATTTTCATTTAAAAAAAAATACATAGAGTCCTCACCTCCGTCTAAAAACGCTATTTTTTAAATAATACATTTTTTTATTAATTTGCACAAATATTACGCTGATATTTTTATTTTCAAAACTAATATCCAATCAGCCAGCAGCAGGCCGACTCAGCCTAGTCAGCTAGCAGCAGGTCAACTAGGCCTTATCAGCCAACAGCGGGCCGATAGCTGGCCCATCGGCCACGTGCAGGCCGACTATTGGCCAGGCCACGTCGCGCCGGGCGCTATCGGCGCAGCTGGGTCACGGGCGCCCCTGTCAGCCTGCTACCGACCGATCCGTCAGCTGCTGGCCAACATGGAGCGGGCCCCGCAGCGCCTGGCCTCTTCCTCCTTTCTCCTTCTCCTTTCTCCTCCTCTTTTCTCCCACCGCGCAACACCTCTCTCTGTTCTTCCTTCCTCCTCTCTCTTACACGAAATCAATTTGTACATCAAAATGACCCCTTTTTTGCGGATTTGGCACCGTGAATGGGTTCTACATAGTTAGGGGAGCCAAAAGAGACCTCGATCTACTGATGGGGTAGCTCATGGTGGTCGTGGTGAGCATTTTATTGGAGCTTTTTTTCAGCTCATTGGTGGAGGTTGTGGCGGCGGTGGTCGGTGGAGGTGGAGGTGGTGGTGGTGAAGCTAGGGCAATGTGGTGGACATGAAGCTCCGGCAGTTTGGTGGAGTTTTCGGCTCCGGTTCCGGTGATTGAAGGCCGCCGTTCGTCGTTCGCACGCACGCTCCACGGGTATATCTCAACAAACATTTTATTTTTCGAAGTTGCTCGGTAGTATTCGTTAATATGTTTCGATATGAAATAAATTAGGTGTGCGATTATTGTTATTTGCTCCGGTAGTATACGTAAATATAATTAGATGTCAACTAATTAGTTGTGTGCAAATTACTAGTTGCTCTGGTAATATTCCATACTATAAGTGGATGTCAAATATTTAGGTGTGTCAGTATTTGGAGTTGCTCCAGTAAAATTTGTAATATATGTAGATGCCAAATATTTAAATCTGTCAATATTTGTAGTTGATCCGACAAATATTCGTAATATACTTGTAGGTGTGTGAATTGTATTAGTTGCTCCGTTAATATTCCGTAATATATAGCTAGCTAATATATATACATGTCTAATATTTAGTAGTGGGGAAATTTTAAGTTGTTGCTTAATACTTGTTTTTCGTTGTTGAAAACAAATTAGGTGAGCTGAGCTGTCTGATGTAGTGAAGTTCATATTTTACTACAGCCCTGGTACTGTCTAAACAACTGAGATGGGAGCTGGTCTGAGTGAATTTACTCACATACAGGTGCCAATGAGCGCACCTCAAACATGGTCTGTCAGTCAGTTGAAAGAATGATTACGGCAAGTTTAGGGCTTGATACTGAAACACACACCGTCGGTGTTCATGCATTGTGGACACGATCAAGTTCAACAATTTATTTTTATTTGAGGCCAATAGAGTGAGACTCTAATTGGGTGCGGTGGTTACAAGGTTGTGAACGCAGGGGATGCAATCCTGTTGCCTTAGTGCTTCCCGTCGTGAAGGAGGTCACTGCACATGAAGGCGAGGGTGGCTACGATCCTAGACAGAGAAGTGGAGGGAGGCAGTTATCTATGTCAAATGCTGGAGATGATGGTTACGAATCAGGATAGAGCAGTCAGGTAGAAGGAGGAAAAGCTGATGGTTATGAACCAGGGCAGAGTAGTCAGGTAGAAGGAGGAAATGTCGATGGTGATTACAATGGTGAGGTGGACGCTGACAAGGTAGATGGGCACATACAGGACCAGATGGAAGAAGAAGGCACTGATGTTGATAGGGGTCATGCCGATGATTCCGACGAGTCGGATGAAGAAGAAAATGCAGAGGAGGTCCCGAATCCTGCATCATGGAATCATGACTTCTCATCTGCAATGACTGTGAATGATAGACATGATTCTGCCTGCAATATCACCAGAACAATATTGCGACGGGTGCTATGTATCCCAACAAGCAAGCTCTAAAGGATGCAATAATTAATTGGGCAATGTCCACGCAAAGGGTTTTCACAGCTCAGGTGTCAAGTCAGAAATTCCTGACAATGGTATGCAAGAACGCAGATTGTCCCGTAATAACCCACAAGTATAGGGGATCGCAACAATTTTCGATAAGTAAGAGTGTCGAACCCAACGAGGAGCTAAAGGTAGAATAAATATTCCCTCAAGTTCCATCGACCACCGTTACAACTCTATGCATGCTTGATGTTCTCTTTACCTAGAAAAAGTATGAAACTAGAAGTACTTTGTAGGTGTTTTCGGGTAAGTTTGCAAGAAAGTAAAGAACGCGTAAATAAAAGCTAGGGGCTGTTTAGGTAAAGACACAACTAAAGTAAATTTAGCGAGTGTGGAAAAGTGGTGGTAGGAGTTGTGAAATTGTCCCTAGGCAACTGAAAGGACCACGATGTCGCCTAGAGGGGGGTGAACAGGCGTTTTAAAATCTTTTACGGATTTGGCTATATCCTAATGCGGAAATAAACTAAGCGGATACTTTTCAAGAACAAATCCTAAATATACTAGGCTCACTAAGTGCACCAACAACTTAGCATAAACAAGATGAGAACAACAGGATATGAGTAAGCACAAGTAAGTCACACAAACTTACTCAGTGTATATCACGAGGTATGGAAATGAATAATACACACAACCACAAATAATCAATACAAGCTTACACAAATTGTATCACAATATATGGAATTGAATGATACAAGCAAACTCAAGTAAGTTACACAAACTTACTTGAGCAATATCACAATATATGGAAGTTTATAACACAAGTTAGCAATTCACACTAATCACAATGTATATCAATAGTAGCAAGTATGAATTGCGGAATATGAAGTGTAGGCCTAAATAATCTCTACAAGGAAATGGCCAACACAATATAATCAACCACCACAATATAATGAGGACAACAAGATATAGTGAATCCACGGTCAAATGACCAAAGTAAACCACAAGTAAGGAGTTAGGGTTAGGGATAACCAAAGTCACGGGGAGGAGGATGTATCCCGATGTTCACTTCCTTGGAGGGAAGCTAGTCACCGTTAGAGAGGTGGATGTTACCATGAAGGCACACCAACGCCACGAAGGCTCACCCTATTCTCCTTGAGATATCACCACGAAGGCGATTCTCAACCACTAGTGGTAGACCTTGAGGCGGCCTCCAAACCTTCACAAACTTTCCGGGGGACAAATCACAAGTTGATTCCTCACCGGAGCACTCCTACCGCCTAGGAGTCTCCAACCTCCAAGAGTAACAAGAACAAAGGGGAAATGCTCAAGACTTGCTCAAATCACGAATTCCTTTGGTCAAGAGAGGGAGAGGGAGTGGATCTATCACTTGATTGGAAAATCTCTCAAGAACTCTCACGAATCTCTCGGAGATCTAAGATTTGATGTAGGAGAAGTGAGAGGGAGCCTTTTTGTGTTCTAGGGTTCATATGAATGTGTTGCTCAACCCTCTACCGGATTAGTAGAGGGGTATATATAGTAAGGCTAGAAAACTAGCCGTTTGTGAGTAAGTGGCTGTGTTGGGCCGGACATCCGGGCAAGGGCGGGACATCCGGAGGACACAACCAGCATTTCAACACGGTTCTGGACATCTACGGCCGGATTTCCGGGCTAAGTCCCGGATATCCGGCCAACACAAAAACTGCAGGCGCCCCAAAAGTAAAACATCCATAACTTTCTCATCCGGACTTTGATTTTGATGATCTTGGACTCGTTTTGAAGCTATGGAAAAGCTCCAGGTCCTCACATAGAGAACCACCCAAGATAAACCAAAATGGAGGATGCAAAGTATGCAAAGGTTAGATCATATATTTTGGGGAACCTAGTTGGCTATGGATTTATTTGGTATATAGGATATGAGTGGAATTGTGTTGGATAGGAGTGAAATATGCCTATGTTGGAATATGACGTGAGGAAGTAGAAATAGAAGATGTTGACTTGAGCAAATCTAGCACTAACCCCTTTGATCCCCTCTTAATAGTGCGGGATCCCTATAACTCAAGAAACATAAAAGAGCTATACTACATAGCTATCGAGAACCATTCTTGAGTGTATATTTTTCTTCGGTGGTCATCTATCCACAACACTAACGCCAAAGGAACTAATACCTTTGACTCAAGCCTTTAACTTGAGCTTGATGTTTATGTTTCTTCTTGGCTCAAGTTGAAGGCAAGACATTGGTGAAGTCTTCAAGTAGCTCCCACATATGGGAGGCCTTGCTTTGTATTCATCTTCACTTGCCCATCATGTGATCATCCACAAGCT